GATGCAATCTCATGCACATCCCCAACTGAAGAATGCAAATATCAGTCCTTTGAATGAATTTTTTTTTAGATCATGCCAGTTAATTGATTCCCATTCTTCCCTCCCTTCTGACGATTTTTTACAGAAAAATAGCTTACGGTGTACGTATTGCCCGTAAAACTGGTCACCCGCAGCGCCGTATGCCTGATGCATCGCTGTCGGAGCTTGAATCTGCCCCTGCTGCATTCCTCCTGGCTCGTTCGCTGCTCCTTGATAATGCTCCACCGTAGTTGGCTGGAAAACAGTTTCACTACAACAAAAAATTATTCTCACACCCATAAAAAAAACATAGTCTTTTAAATGAAAGACTTCTAGCGGTGACAGAATCGAATTCTAGAACAACTGCGAGGTGTGCAGTACAGGCATCCAGCTACTGGCTGTAACCATAGATTTCAGGACGAGAATGTCTAAGGTGTGGGTGCGGTCACAATAACATGAGATCTCCATATCCCTTATGCAAGCGACCTTCGTAAAGAACTGAAGGCGTTGTGCATCACTCAACATTTTTTCGTAGCATTGCGCTTTCGTTTGTCAGTTGGGCGAGGAGAGGTCAATTTCAGGAGCAGCTGGTGTGCAGAATCGTGGGTGATTAGACAGATGTTAGTGCACAAAAATTCTGATTAAATTTGTAAATCGTCTAGAACAAGTCTTACTTGTCCATGAGATTGGTGCGTTTGTGAGAATGGTGCATGTGCTGCAGCCGCTGCCGCTGCTGCTGCGACGGACGGGTGAACAAAAACAGGCTGTGGACCGTAAACATAACCGGGCTGTCCAGTTGCAATGAACGGGAACTGCTAGAATTAGAAATAAGTGCTTTTCAGAATTCTGAAATGCACCAGTTGCTTGAAAATAAACCGGCTTGTGAAATGCGCATTCGAAAACCCAGGAATGAGTATTCAGACGCCCCCAACCCTTGCCAACACCGCCAAATTGGACGAACTATCATAAGAAATTTTTTGCATACCATTTCCATGCGATTGAAAATCAACGCGCTGTGAATATGAATCTTGAAACAACGTTAAGTATGCAAACAAACACTCCACTTAGACTTTGACGGGATGTTTTTGTGCACTGCTACCTCTGCTTTTTGTACATAAAAGGTAGAGACACAAACACACATACGCAAACAAACACAAACAGACACATACAAACAAATACAAACAGACAGACAGGACACCAGCACTGATAACACTGTTCATCGCACGCATTCAGTATCTCATGCACACCGCAACGAGCAAGAAAACAAAAGGAAAAACCGAAAAAGGCAAGTGGCTCTCGATGTAGTGGTTCTGGTAAAAAAATGTATACGACTTTATGAACCGAAACATTTCTTTCCCACGGAAAGAAATGTTTCGGTCCATGAAGCCATGCACATTTTTTGCCAGAGTCAGAACTGAACCTCGTCAGTACAACCGTTGCGGCAGAATAGAGCGCTTTCTAAAACGGCAATTTATTTTCTGAAAGCTAATTTCTAAATAATAAATGCAAGAGAAAAGATGAAGCGGTCACAAGTGCTAATAAAAAGCACTTCCGGGAGCTCTTCCTCCCAGTTTGGCATCCTGCTAGAGAGTGCAGTCAACCTAGAACACAAGCGGGAGTGAGAGAGCAAGGGATTTTTTGGCCGATGAATCAGTAGCTGATCATTAATTATTGTTAGTATTCGATACACAACCACTATGGAGTAGTAAGGGCTAAATTTGAAGTTCCTAGAGTGAGGGGCTTCTTCTACTAATGCTCAATTACGAAAATCTGTGACCTTTATTTGACACAAAAACACAAAGTGCGAGCAAATATTTCATTGCTGTCCTTGCAAGGGCCATACTTAGAGGATAATCAAATTTCCACACCAATTAATTTCAAAATCACCTTGATGCTTGCAAGATTATAAATTTACTACAAACATACAAACCAATTGTATGCATCACCATGGAGCTGGTATACCAAAATGTAATAGGATTTGGATTCTAGCAGCTTTCGGCAAGTCCACCCCGATATATTGCTCCGCGAGTCTTTAACAGTACAGAAACTGCCCGTACGATTAACATTATGCATCCAAAATATAATATGTAACGGCTGTCGATGCTTTAAAATGAAGGTGCTCG